ATGATGACCCCCAAGTCTCTTTCTTCTGTAGAAAGGGTTGTTTTTTTGGTTTTTTTTCATTTGTTTTTAAATCTCCATATCCAGGAAGTTCACATCAGGCATGACAAATGCAAACTGAAAGCAACCACTAAGCAGCTTCTCAATGTATCTAAGTGTGTCTCATTATGACCCACCAAATCCTAACATCTTTAGAGGACTTCTTTCCCAGCATTCTGCTAAGAGAAAATGGTACAGAGAAACCCTTGTATCCCAACATGCAGCTGCAATAGCAAAGTGATGAATCTTGTTACCAAGCAGTTATTTCTCTATGTCTAGCTTGGAATATGGGCTATATTTTATTATGGGTAGGCTATCACATTTTAATTACCATGATTCTGAACAGAACTTTGCACCTACTATAGTTAAGGCAAATAGTGTCTAAAATAACTATTTTAGCTAGTCATGGTTAACCCTCCAGGAACTGATTTCTTCCCTGTGTAATGATAGGCTGTCCCTTACACAGGATGACAGAGATAATAAGCATATACTACCATCAGCTTTAGTTAAAGGCTGAAAAACAGAAGATACATTTGTTTTATTTAAGAACAACAGTGAACCTATTGTATCAACATATTTACAGCAGGGCATTTATACACAAACACAAATGACTGTGTAAAAGTATTAGATTGTTTTAACTGCAAACAAAGCCACACAATCTCTATCAGGAAGCAGAGACTGAAGTAAACTGCAATTATTTCATTTTAGTCATTCTATCGTTTTACTCAACCAAGCTAAATATACTGACTAGTTTTGCATGTGCTACTTGTACACAGAAACTGTTAAACAAAAGAAAAATATCCTGAATTTAGGCTTAGTAGATGTAGATGGAAATTATATTTGTCACACGATCAACCCCCTGAAAGTGCTCTACAGCCATGCCATGACACATGCGCACGGCTGCAAAACATTTTAAAAGTGGCTGTTTGTGTGACAAATTAATCCTCATTTAATGAAGGATCAGATGAAGCTGCTCCACCTTGGAGTGCCTTAGAGAACTTCTGTTCCCTAGGGTCAATCCATTGGCAATCAGGGCTGGACTGATGCATCTGGCTCCAGTGCTGTCTTCAGGAAGGGAGGGGGAGAAGGGAGGAGGAGCGAGCTGTGGGCTTGGGTTTGCCCAGCCTGAGCTGGAAATGGTTGTGTGGATAGGACCTCTCCCCCACCCAGCCCCATCCCTTCCAGCTACCACCAGGCAAACCGCAGCCTGCAACTCAATCCTCCTCCCTTCTCCCCCTTCTCTTCCTGGAGAAAGCACCAGAGCTAGAAGGGGAGAGCAGGCCTAGGGGAGAAGAGAGGCTGCAGGCAGGCTCCTCTGCTCAATTCCTGGGTGCCCCCCAAAGCAACAGGCGAATGTCTGTTGGGCCAAGGGACCACTGTAACTCACAGTGCTTTATGTAAAGCACCATGAGGTAGTGGGGGGGAGGTGCTGCACGTCTGTCAGCACCCTTTGAGGTATATCCACCTAGTTTATTCTGGTTTTAGAGTTACTGCCAGTTGCAGTGACATTCTTCAAATTGAAAAAAGCGTTTAAGTAATATCTCTAGAACCAATCTCTTTAAATATACCACATGTATTTATGAGTCCATGATTAGTAAACATACCTGGTGCTGTATTACAGTTAATCTGTTCTCATTAGCACATCCCCTCCCACCTCTCAGTTTGGACGTAATTCTTGAAATTACTACCTCTAACCACTTAGAAATTAATGCTTTGAGTCATTTGAAAGGTGGCCTGCAGTGTGTCAGGGGACACTGAGCCCTGGTTCCTGGGAGTTCTTGATATATTAATCAGAACAATTAGGTTTGAACAAAGTTGAGAGAGCACAGCAAGCTATTATGTGATCTGGGATCTCATATTCTGTCAGAAAAAGTAAGGAATGTTATATGCAATGCCCCAGGAAAGCTGAGATTCTAATCTTCCCCATGGCATTTGGTATTCAATTGTAGCCCTCGCTGTTGCAAGTAATATTTGTCTTGAAAAAAAGTCACTGGTCAATCAGCCCAATGTGGTATCTTGGAACTGACCCAGTTTTACACAGGGGAAGGTTGTCCTTGAAACACAAATTTGTTCCATTCCTTTAAGTGGGATATAATTATATATTCATCTATACATGCTGCTATAGAGGATGTGCTATGAAGTCAAATAGTATTTTGTGTGTGTGTATATATATATATATATATATATATATATATATATATATGTAAAAAGATTCTTGCTTGTATTGAAATAAATGAGAAAAGAGGTTTTAAGTATTGATTGAGAAAACAGCTCTTTGTGAAATGTGATACTTTCACTTAGCAATACTTAATGACATATCAGTTTACAAACTCCCGCAGAAACCACCATTTCTGCAAAATCTGATTTACTATTTTCAATGTATTAAATCTCATTTTTTGCAATTTATAAAATAACTTAAATACCCATAAGAAAAAAAACAAGCAAAAGCTTGTTCCTACGTGTTTGCAATACTGTACAATGAAATCATCCTGCCAAAACAAAGCGAGCAGCAATCTGAATGCATTTACTCCTCTTTCCTATACTGCCTGGCTGCAAACTGAAAAGCAAATGGAGACTTCAAAATGAAAATACCCCTCCCCCAACTGTGACTTTCTTTCTCCAACCTGTGGCTCTCTCCCAGCAGAACAGCTGGCAGATTTTACTGCTTCCATAGCAACCATGTCGTCATCCTGTTGGCCTGACAACATTGCAGTAGTAAGAAATTTGGTTAACGTTTGAACCATTCTTAACCTACAAAGGTATTTTTGGGGTTGTGTTGCAAAATACCTATTTAACATTCAATTTAATAAATTTTGCTATAAAAAATCCTATACAGTCCTTATTTGCCAGATGAATCAGATCCTCTTCCTTGGCATCCAGCAAGGAGTTAATATGCATTCTCTGTAAAGTGACATTGGAGGGATCAAACCTCTGCAGCAGCTTCAACTTATCCAGTGACAGTCTAGCTCCCATCATGCCTTCTCCTCCAATATGTGGTTCCTTTGGGAGTAAGAAAATAAAGCACATTATTTATCTTCCTCTGAACTTACTGTTTTCAGTAAGTAAAAAATGCAAGAAATTTGTTGTGTGATCATCTCTAGCATATTGGTAGAATAATTATAACTAGACATCTTTGCTCTATTTAATGGACTAGATTCACAAGGGGGCCTTTGGTGCTCGACCCCAAAACCTAGATACTTACAAGCCCCAGCTATTCCTGGAGGCACTTGAATTCCCTTGGTACCTAAGCTTTCACCAGTAGTTCCCAAATATCTTCTGAGGTGCATATGCAGAAATGCCTAAATCTTGACCTGGAGCAGCTCATGAGCTTTACAGGAGTTCACAAAACTAGGTGTCCTTTGCATATTCAATCTGCAGATTCTGATTTAGAAGATGTGTGCTAGGCACAGCTGCCAGCACACAAACAGGAAGAGGCTGTGTCACTTCCCCCTCTCTGTCTAATGCAGAACTGTTCCTGTGTGCAAGGGCTGCAGGGTCCTAATCCCTGCCCCCCCTGTGAATATTTAAGTACTAGCAAATTGCCTGTCAAGAATGACTGTGGGGGGAGTGGGACATGTGGGAAAAGAGCCCCATGTCTGCCCCCACTCTTGTCTGGGCCTGTTTCCCCCACTTCCCTCTCTCTGCCCCCACCACTTGAGGTTTGGTCCTGCTCCACCCCTGCCCCTGCTGCACTCTCCCCGGCCCACTCCTCCCTTCCCCCGACCATGTCAGGCCCGGGCCTTCTCCTCCCTTCCGCCCCCACCGCATCAGACCCAGGGCCACTCCTCCCCTACTTGCCGCATAGGGTCCAGGCCCACTCCACCCACCGCTGTTGCCTTCCAAGCAGCGGGGGCGGGGGGGAAGACAGGCCAGCACTATTGCTGCTGCCTCCAGGAGCAGGGCCTGGGGGAGAGGGCAGGCAGGGCGGGGCAAAGCCAGTGGCGCTGGCCTCGCTCCCCCACTCTGTCCCCACCGCTGCCTCCTGTCCAGAATGCTCTTGGAGCACGGCACTCTTACCAGGAGGTGCTTTTCTTTCTTCCACTAAATAAAATTAACCTAAGATATGGTAGATGTTACCTGAAAATTCCCATGAAATAAGTGCCAGAGGAGGTCTGTATTCATATCAAGAAACAAAGGGACTCTGAAGTGATAATCATTAACAAAAGCCTCAGCTCTGTTAAATGTTTGGTTACACTTACATTTCTTCCTACTGTGAATACAACCAAATACTGTTGTTATCGCAACACTATATTTTCTCACTTTTTATTTCACTATATCAGTAATATTTAATATTCCTTATTTGTATATAAGATAGAAATAATTTTAAAAGTTACAAATTAAACCTATATCAAATTAAGACTTTTTCTCAAGCATTCAATTGTAAAATTTACAATTACTACCTTATCCTTTCATCTCTGAAAAAACTCGCAAAAGTACTAAATATAGTGTAAGAATAAAATATCCCAAAGTACCAGCATTTGTTTTTTGAAGATATGCCTTAAAGATTACACCAGTTCCATATGCCACCACCACCTACAAACACTGGCTGTAAAATTAATTAGATCTGAACATGCTGATTTCTTCTCAAGTGGCTGTGAATCTGCAAATCCATGTCAAGCGCCTCTGCTACTTTGACAATACCTTTGGCTAATGTCTCCCTTTTCCCTCCCCACAAGCAGCATGGTTTTTTAAATATTTTATTCTCATTCTATACGTGACCCTTTATACTTGTTTCAACAGCATTAATAACACCTATTGGATTCTTCTGTGAATGTACTTTGAAATACAAGAACAAAAATAACAACAATATGTATTATGGACAAAGCTGCCAGAAAAACACTAGCTGTCTTGAACTATCTATTATCCCTCTAAGTTTTAAATGACAAAGTGGCGGGCAAATACAAGAAACCACTGCAATCTAGAGGAAAGTCATATTGTGAAGCCACTTAAGCACCCTTCAGTGAACCATAATCAGACCTCTGTTAATCTACTGTGAAAATTGCCATATGTCCACCAGCCTTCACTCTCACGTGTTATCCAAGGTGAAATAGTTTAGTCCTTACATAATGCACTCCTGCTTCAGTTAAAGGCATGTGGGATGCTAACACGGGACTTCATGACTTCCTGGTGACAGGATACTCCTGATCCTCAAAGGCTTTTATTCTCACCTCAGCTTTTAATCATTTATAAATGTGATTATCCAAGGTGTGTCTGCCTTTTCAACTGGGTATGTTTAAGACTCTCTTAAATAACAACACTCTATTCTTCTTAGGCACCAAAGAGGGCTTTAAGTGTCATGGTACAATCATTGCTGCAAGAGCATAGAACACATAGATGCAAAATATTCTCTATGCCCTTTCTATCTGCAACAGCGAACAATGAGGGAGACTGGCCTATGTAATCACATACATCACTTCTTCACTCTTTCCAGAGTGGGGTTCTTGAACTGTTTCACTGCCTGACAGGAAGGATATCATTTAACACACCGCTGGTGAAACATGTGCCCTAGATTTGCACTGGGTAAACTGAAACTCTTCTTACCCTAGGTATGCATTGAGTAAACTGAAACTCTTCTTACCTGGGACTGAAGCTGGAGGCAGGGAAAATTTTCCAGAGCCCAAGCAACCTGCTCCTCATTTTCAGCTAGTGTAATTGTACATGTGCTGTACACCAAAATACCCCCTGGCTTCAGCAGTTTCACTGCCTAGACAGAGAGAGGGAGAGACTGTGCTTTGGCTTCTGTGTTATGATCATATTAAATGAACAATTTCTTTGACTACGTGTAAGTACAGTAAATCTAGTTACAGGTAAATTATGAATTGCATAATTAACTGTAACTTGGATGTATGAAATTTCTGTAGTGCAATCGGTAAATAATAGAACACTTATGTAGGCAATGATGTTTCTATCAAGGACTTGGGCATTGTGTTAATCATACAACACATTACCCCCTTTTGAAAGACACAGTGAAGGATCTAATATTTCCAAGTTCACTCTGGAAAAAGGCTCAGGATTTGTATTACACAAGACTAAAAATGAGAGAGGAGTTTCTTGCCCTACAAGCTTATTAGCTCATGCAGACTCCTGGGCTGTGGGAGGCAACATGTGCCCCCAACTGCTGTATAGCACCATCTAGCAGGTTCTGCATAACTCATCCAGACATAGGTTAGATTTTGGTTTCATCAGCTGATGCCAATTATGGATATTAAGTTATCTGATCAATGACCAATAGGAGATGTTTGTTCTTCCTACATACATATGAAGATTATTGCTGATGTCCTCTTTTGGAACTGGTAGAAATAAAAGTGAAATATACATGGTTTTATCAAAAAGTTCTAAGACTCGATGTTCGGGGTATTGTTCATCAGGAATTTGTACCGAGTAGTCAAACAATCAATCAGGCCTTTTATAAAGAGGTTTTGATTCAATAAAGTTAGAAGAAACCGCCGCAAGCTGTGTGAAAATGGTCAATGGTTTCTGCACCATGCCAACGCTCCTTCACACACTGCTGTCTCCATTCAAGAATTTTTGGCTGAAAAAAAACATTCCTGTGATACCACACCTTCCATATTCACCTGACCTTGCCCCATGTGATTTTTTTCTGTTCCCAAAAATCAAAATGAAGCTGAAAGGAAGAAGATTTGATGACATTCCAACCATCCATAAGAATGTGAAAGCAGAACTCAAAAAACTCACAGCTGAAGACTTCCAGGATTGCTTCCGAAAGTTGCAGGAACGTTGGGACAAGTGCATATCATCTGGGGAAGATTACTTTGAAGGGGACAGCTCATAAAAATGTTGTTTGTACACTATTCTTTAAAATAAAGGCTAAGTCTTAGAACTTTTTGATCACCCCTCGTAGTTTCTCTTTACTGTGCTTGTTTTACTGATACAAAGATACAATAAAGAGATTTTGGGGGCTGGAAGCACCTTCTATTACTGGATTCCTGACATTGTCTCCTAGAAAAGTAGAAATTTCATGAAAGAATGGAAAACAAGGGACTATGGTTTATAAAACTTTGAAAGGCCCTAGGCATTTGACTGAATCAAAGAGGGAGAAGGAAGTTAACCGAGTCAAAACGACTGTTGCTGTTCTCTATCTGATCAACGTAGTATGCAATAGAGGGTACTAAAATAAGATGTCTTGAAAGAGACTCCAAACCACATCAACGCTTCTTAGTTTGAAGTCTTTATCAGTGTTTTGCACTTGCATATTTCTACTCCAAGTGTCACCTTTTTAAGAACACGTGTTCTGGGATTTGTAGTTCCCTAATGACCATGCAGCATCACTTTGATAAAAGGCCTGGTGGGGAAAGGGGTGGGTGATATTTAAGCAATAAAGGGTGGCTATACATATGCTCTGATGCATTCTAATTAGAACGCGTTCTAATTAATCAAGTCTGACAGAGCATTGTAATTAGAACACTCCAGCATGCTGCTGTATCATGTATATTCAGCATCCAGCATTTCAAAATAGAAGCATGGCCGTTTTAACTAAAATTCATCAAACGAGCTTTAGTTAAAGTGCCCCCAGTCATTTTGAAATGTGAGATGCTGAATACACGTGACATGACACTAGGGCATTTTAATTGAGTGGCTGTCCAGGAGTCGCTCCCCCACTCCACCCCGGAGCAAGTGTATAGACATCCAAAGAGACTAGAGGTAAGCTGGGTGTGACAGATAGTAGTTTGCTTGTAGTTAGAAGGGGATGTGTGGCAAAAAAAATCCTGCAAGTGAATCTGGAAGGAGGTTTACATAAAAGATGAAAGAATACTTTGGAGGATGCGGGTAACATGGTTGCACATGGTGTTGGGACCTCTTGTTTAGGGGCCTAGGCTTGGCTTACAGAGACGGTAAAATTTCCCTGACCTTTCATTCTTTATATAAGGGTAAATAAAGATCAGGACACATTTTGAAGAAAAGAAAAAGGCCTGCAGAAGCTAAACTCATATTGGTGGCACTTTTAACTAGGGCAGAAAGAATGCAACCCCAGGAGGGCAAAGAAGTACTTAGAAAGGATAAAGGATTGTTTTATGGGATGATAACTGCCCTGAATGAAGAGGGATTCTTGATTTGTCCTCCTTGCCATTTATAACACAAAACATCCAGCTAGCCAGAACCAGAGCCAAAGAAAGCAAAGTATGACTACTTGAACAAGGCAAGCTAATCTTTCACCATCTCTGACTGTAAAACATTCAACTTTTTTTAGTCGACAATTAATACATACCACAGTGAAAAGCTTCCGTTGTAAGGGCTGGTAGGAGGTCACTTCCTTTAGAGTCCAGGAATAAGCCATATTAGGTCTCTGTCCCATCCCACTACAGGGAGCATCAAGAAGAATTCGATCAAATGACTCTGCCAAGAATGGAGGTCCTGTGGCAAAAGGCAACTGTCATGTTTAAAAGCTACAGAAGAATATGTTTGTTATATTAAACAGTCTTTGCTTATTTTCTTGAGACAGCACCATGGATCATGGGAAGCTGTCACTGCCTGCCTAACATTAAATGCTTCCACATTTGTATACTGTATTCTATCATTACAAAAGTAACCTCATCTGCAGACAAGCAAAACAAGGCACAGCACTCTGGTAATGACTGTATGGACTTCATCCCAAAAAGAACAATGCATTTTATTTCAATGCTATCTTTACACTATGGTGAACCTGTCCAAGATTATGCTAGATTAACATATGTCAAACATACTTTAAAATTTTGAAAGCACCATGTAAAAAATGCCAGAGACACAGGATTTTGGTTTCAGTGTGTGGGATATATAACTGTACTACATAGAGCTGCAATGAGCAACTATTGTTTATACCTGCGCCAAAATAAATATGTATATGGTAAATAAAAAGCCTACAGTTAAGTTTATCATGCATTTTAAGTACTTACCTTAAATGGCTCAATACATGCTAATGCTTAGTCTTCATGCTGCATTTTCATATGTATATTTCAAAACATTTTATAAAGGAAGTATGTCTTACAAGCTCTGGTATGTGATATGCTGGCTGCCCCACAGCACGCTAACTGGTTTAAAAAAATATGTAGTATAAATACTGCTGAGAGTTACTTGCATGCAGGAAAGGAATTTGAAACTCCCTCCCCTTAATCCTGCTAGGCTGCAAAAAGCCAAAATTCCTACAGCCCTGTGCTCGGAAGGCTCTTTAGCAGAGGACTCCAGAGGAAGCAAACTGCTGGTTCTTCACCCTCTGGGAGTAAAGACTACAGAGGAAAGTTGTATTACACGCCTCCCCAATTTATCTTATATTGCAGATGGAAATGAGCTTGGGGCTTCACTTTAGTGCTATCCAGATTTAGGTCACTACACCCAAATGATTCTAAACTACATGGCAGCAGTCAGCAACCTCTGGCATCCATGTCAGAGCATGGCATACAGGGCCATTTTCCTGGCACTTCACAGCCAGCATAGGCTCTGGGCAGTTGCTTCTAGCCACAGAGCCTGAGCTGCTCACAGCAGGTGGCCAGGAAGATGCAAGGCATGCTACAAGCTGCCCAGGCCAGCTGTGACAGGCAGCTGGGAGGCTGCAAACAGCTGCATGGGGGTCTGGAACCCTGGCACCAGCTATGTGGCAGCGGTGGCTACATGCACACCTCAGGGAGCAAAGCAGGGGGGGGGCACCCCGTGGCTTGTGGCAGGGGCCTGCCCAGAGCCCAGGCTGGCTGTTGCAGGGAAGCTGCAAGCTGCTGCACCAAGGTCTGTGGAGCCCCTGTCCAGATCCTTGCTAGCAGCAGCTGCACGCACATCTCTGGGTAGACAGCAGGGAGGACCCAGATTAGCGCAACCCCGAGGCACACATGCAGCTGCCACTGGCCTCAGAGCTGGGGTGCAGTTGCTTGCAGTGCAGTTCCTTGCAGCCTATGCATTTGTTCCAATTGCAGTGTAGTTGCTTGCAGCCTGCCCACCGCCTGCTGTGATCTGCCTAGCCTCCATGGCTAGTGGTGGCTGCACTTAAGCCTCGGGGCATGGCAAGGAAGTGCTTGGTAGCTCCCCCACCATCTGCCTCCAGCACGCTCACCTCCAAGTCAAAGTTAGGGTGTTTTTGACACTCCGGCCAAAAGCGTTGCTGACCCCTGCTTTACGGCATGACCAATAGACTTTGCCTGAGAGAGGCTCTAAACTGGACCACAGACCAGGTTGTACCTTTTGACTTAATTGCAGAGATGTGTGTAAAGCCTGTTCAGTCTCTACCTGTTCTATATCAAACTTGTGCTCTTACTACATATTACTAATTTGCACAGGCATTAAATACCACCACACTTGACTTTAGAAGACAATCTAACTATAAGGCACAGGGGCATTGATATGCACTGCCTACACATGCAAGATGGGTAACTTATGCACTGAAATCCCTACTTTAGTTATCTGCTGAGCTGTGCTAAAATAGCAAAGAAACTTGCTATTTCTTTCTGTAGCAAACTAGAAAGAATCAAAGACAATAGATACCAATGACATATTTTTATCATGGGAACAGAACCACAGTCATAAATACAGCATATCAGAAAAGCAAATGAAACGAACCTAAAATAAAAATAATACTCTGGGCTTTCACAGCCCTTGCCATCTATGTGTCTGAAACAGCTGTACAAACAATAAATAAACTTCATAGTGCTCCTGGGAGTTAGGGATTAGTAACCCCATTCTACAGATGGAGATTCTGAGGCACAGAGAAGCTTTTCTTCCAAACCTACTGATTTCTCATCACTGAAAACTGCAAAACCATCCGGAGCATGGGGTTAAACACCATCATAAAGAAAAACTTACTATCCAGCTCCCTCTGATATTATCTGTGGTAGGAATAAATACCTCCTCAAGCACATTAGGTTGTGATTAGGACAGACAATTAAGACTTCTGCACTTGAGAAGCTGAGAATTGCAGAATAGTAGAAACTAAAAGAATATCCAGTGATAGAGCACTCTGGGTATCTGCCAAGATTTAAAGGACTTGGGGATATTGTGGTAGGTTTAAAAGCACTTGCACAAATCTGATTATCATTTTCTTCCAAAAGCTACTATCCAAAGCTTTTACAATCATTTACTTTACCTTCTGTGTCCTCTGTCTTCCTAACTGCAAATGCCTTAGTTCCATCACAGCAAAATGCCTTAATACAGTTCAGCTGCAATAATGCAGCATTCTGTGTAATTTTTTTGACCTTGCTAGCAATCTTATCCATGGCTATGACTTCACCCTGAAAAAAGCAAAGATCACACAAAATGTTGTGTTTACACAGATGAGCAGCTGCTAAAAACAGGTTCAATACCTCTCACCTTTTATTGAGATGGGTAAATAAGGCACTCAAATCCTTACTTTAGCTAGTTACTGACCTGTATTGAAATAGCAACAAAAGATTTCTTTAGCAAACTAAAAAGAATCAAAGGCAATGGACACTACTGAATTATTTCCATCTTGGGAACAGAACAAGAGTCATAACTACAGCATGTCTGAAGAGCAAATGAAATGAACCTACAATTAAAAATAATACTTCTGGCTTTCCCATTGCAGTAGTGATCAGTTTACTCTAACAAATACTGTAAATAATGGGAAAAAATAGACAAATGGAAAAAATCACAATTTCACCACTTTGATTTTATGCAAGGAGCAAATTGTATCTTTCTACCTTGCAAGCCTGCAGGACAAATTACAGAAAGAACTAGGATAATATAAATGTGATTTACAAACACAATGAAGAAAACCCACGTTAATGACATGGAGTGCATACTCTAGAAGAGTAACAGCACTGGCAAAAGTTAATGTCGGAAGAAGTTTTGCTGAGAATGTCTACTGACTAGGAACTGAAGACCCAAAGTCATGGCTGCCCCTTGCTATGCAGAGGTGGTGTTTTTGATCCCGGTGGAAAGGCAGTGGGAGAGAAAGGGGTTGTGGAAAGGGAGTTAGGGACACGGAAGCATTTGAAGAGCAGTAATTGTGTTAGACAAATGAAGAGTATAGCTCTAGAGCTGACAGAGAAGGGCAAGATTTGTCATGCTATGGGCTAGCAGATTATTGTTAAAATCAGGTTCTTCCGTGATTGTCCTTTAGATTATGTATTCTGAACAGGTGAAATGTCTCATGAATAAAAACGTTCCAGTTTAAAAAAGTACTGCTTCTCATTAAAAAGGCTTGTCCTCTAAAGCTGTAACTAAGAGGATTTGTCTGTCTAAATATATCTGTATATCTACACAGGCAAACCGCTTCTTTATTCTAGGTACAGCTTATATGAGTAGAAGAATGCTAAAAGAAAGGAAGTTATACCAACAAAAACACTATATGCTGGCAGGACTGCATTAGGCTATTTGCCAGTATAAAGCTTATCTTTAAAAACCCTTTATGCAACTATTCTGGCAAAATTTTAGCTATATGCTCTCAGAAATTATATAAGCCAGAGCCTGATCCCAAAGCTGGAAAGATGCAAAACTCAGTGGACTTGTTGTGAATAAGACATTAAATGTCACAGTGAAATATGCTGTACCTGTAAATGGCTATAACTGACATACTGAAAGTATTTTTTAAAGTAGAAATCATACTCTTTAGATCATTAGGTACACAATTGCAATTATGGGTATAAACTCTCAGGAGCTACTAATATTTGAAGTTAAACTCTCCATAAATGCATTCAGCTCATCTGTAAACTGACTAACTTTTTTATTTTTTTTAATGAGGTAACTGTTTAAAGCAGGATTTATTTTCATCTATTTCTCAACCCCACGAACTAAAAGACTAAAAGACTTTGCTATTATTAACAATTGAAACAAAAAACAAATTCTGATAAAAAATGTTTTAAAATGGCAGGGGGGAATAATTTCGTAAACACTTCTATTTTCTGACTGCTTCTATTAGTGTTCAGAAAATGTTGAGTACTTGACTAAAAATGGGAGATTTCACATTTTTCAACTACCTTCGTATTTTAATTAAGTTATAGAGTATATTTGGTATTGTGTTCTATAATAATGTCACAGAAATACTTCATAAAACTACTTACACCTTTGGGAAAAACAAATTACCTACAAAATGGTATACAGAGAGTAGATAAGAAATGTATGGGAACAGAACTTAAGAATCAGAAAGCAAAGCAGACAAATCAGAGAAGCATACTTTGTAAAGCATACTTTATGGTTTTAATTTACATACATTTGCAAGGTATGTTGATATTTAATTAATCCTCATATTCTCCTGAAGCATTACTTAGTGATTGGATGTTAGGATGGTACAGATTACAGCTGCAGATACGATAAATGTCTTTTCTGTATGGACAATTTAAATATTTGTGGAGTTTAAAGAAAGTGCTGAGATACAAAACCATGAAAACTGCATATACATGCTAAAGCTATAGGTGGAAGTAAATTGATGACAAAAGCATACTCCTACATAAAACTCTTCTTTACCAGATTGAAGCTCTTGTAAGCTTTATGGCTGTACCCACTGAATGCCTAATGCATGTTTGTAATTCTACCATATTGAAGGGCTGAACACTTCAGTAAGCACTAGGATGATTATGTCAGAGCAGACTGTCACAAGCATTAGAGCCTTTCTAAGTATACATGACTAGTCATTGCAAAGCCTTCCTGTTAACAAAGAGACAACTGTTAAAGTGCATTATGTTACAATCTGTACCATCTAAAATCACTTGATGTTTTGTCCATAACCTCATTTCATTTCATTTTAATGATACGTGTTAAAATCTACTTTTCCTCTTTGTTATGAAAGAAAACTCTACCTCTCTGGTGGAAGATGACTTGGTATCTTCTCCTTCTAATTGATGTAGCTGAATAGACTCCAGCATGGTTTGTGCTGGAGCTTATTGCTCCTGAGTGCTGCTTTTGCATATGCACCTGGGACTGCATCCCCTTGAGCTGGGGATGAGCATCCCTGCCTGCCAGGGGGTCCCAGGGCTCAGCTTGCCAGCCTGGGACTGCTCCAACCTGGCTCATCATGCTGAAAAGGGGCTGGCTGGGGCATGAGGGTGCCACTATCAATGCTCAGGGGGTACCCTCAACAAAGCCCTAACTATATTATTGTATCTTCCTTTCTTCTATCCTCCTTTCTATTGTTTCTGGTAGCATATGCTATGGTTCTTTCCACTGAAGCAATCTAAGAGTTTCCCAGTCTTCTGGATCAGCTGTTGGAGGGAATTGTGGGAAAGCCACAAAGACTATCAGCATTCCACTGATATTTGTTGCCATCCTCACTGCAGAGCAGGCAGTTGCCAGGCCACTACCTCATGCTTCCTACATATTCTCAGCTTCAACACCCTTGTATGCTCCTCAACAATTTGCCTTACTTATATCAGTATTTCTATTCAACCAAGGTGAGAAAACTTTCTTTTTCTTTTTTTCTTTCTTATTTTATAGATTCATAGGCACTAGGGCTGGAAGGGACCTTGGAAGATCATCGAGTCCAGCTCCCTGCCCCAAGGGCAGGAAGTCAGCAGGGATCACAGGATCCCAGCAAGATAAGCATCCAAATGTCTCTTGAAGGTGTTCAAAGTAGGTGCTTGAACCACCTCCGGCAGCAGTCTGTTCCCAACTTTGGGGGCTTGGACAGTAAAGAAGTTCTTCCTTATGTCCAGCCTGAAATGGTCATGGAGGAGTTTGTGACTGTTTGAACTTGTCATCTCTAGGGATGCTCTGGTGAATAGACATTCCCCCGGATCCTAGTGAACACCCCTTATAAACTTATCGGTGGCCACCAGATCACCCCTGAGCCTGTACTTTTCCAGGCTGAAGAAAGCCATGGCTCTCAGCCTCTCATCATAAGGTCTGTTTTCCTGACCTTTGATCATAAGCATGGCTCTCCTCTGCACTGTCTCAATCTTTTCCACATCCTTTTTGAATTGCGGAGCCCAAAACTGGATGCAGTACTCTAGCTGCAGCCTCATCAAGGCTGAGTACAATGGGAGAATGATGTCCTGGGATTTGCTTGAGAAGCATCTAGGGATGCAAGCCAGTGTTTTGCTCACTTTACTAGCTGCAGCATCACATTGAAGGCTCATGTTCATCTTGTGGTCAATCATGACCTCCAGGCCCCTTTCATCCATAGTGCTAACCAGCGTAGCACTGTCGAGCCTATAAGCATGCTGCAGGTTTTTCCTCCCAAGGTGGAGAACCTTGCATTTTTCGGTGTTAAACACCATCAGGTTCTCATCTGCCCATTTGCTGAGCCTGTCCAGGTCTGCCTGGATCACCCTCCTGTCCTCAGGTGTGGACGCTTTTAGAGAGTCCTGACTTATATGTCCAACAAAATCAGATCAATTTGCAGAAACAGATTTCTGTTTGTGGTAGGTGACTATTTAATACAGGAAGTCTGTAATTCTGATGTGCTTTAAAGTAAACCAGTAAGAAGCATCTTCAAATATTAATGATTTGCTATTCTGAGTTATCTGTGGATCTTGATAGATCAGTGAAGTAAGCCATGCTAATGAAATGCAAGTCAGGCTTTCCTTCTTGAGACAGAAGATACTCAATGACTTCTCTTACCTGATCATGCATTAATGTTGCAAGATGGGTTGTTTTCCCCCCTGGTGCAGCGCACATGTCCAAAATTCTCTCTCCTGGTTGAGGGTTTAGAACGTGGCTCACAACTGCAGAGGGTAAGTTCTAGCATAAACCGATGATTTAGAATATGAGGGATAACAAACAATAAATATGTTCTGAAAACAGTAAATAGTGAAGCCACTTATATTTTCAGTTATCTCCATAACAGAATGAAAAATGTTATTTATATCACATTAAGTATATAGTTATCTTTTGCTTTAAGTCTCTGGCAGCTTTTCCTCAGAACTTAAGCAACAACAATTGAGGTTGTCACACTTGTCACAGCAACTATCATGCACAAATCAAAGAGAACAATGCTGTGGCAGACCTGAAGCCCTCTATAACTTACATATATCGAATACTAACCGACTTATTAGAATGGTTTCTCTGTGAATAATACTGGCTTAGTTTAATAGCAAGTTGTAAACTAGACAAACAAAAAATGACTACATGGCTAGATACAAGCTCCCCATCAGCAATCGCTTGCAAGCTGTTACAGGACTAGATGGAGTGTCCAAGGAAGTCAGGCTTGCCTTGGGTACCATCACAAGATGATAATAAATACTTTTGTCTATTTCACCTGTAGGTCTGTCTGTTTTCAAAACCTTTTTCTTTAAATGCCTTATTATTACTGCTAATATCAACAGTATTCTGGTTTTAAGAAGGATAATGATCACTTTGTACGCTGCTGATCACAGACTAATGAAATTATGAACCCAGCTGTTACAGCCAGCAAGCCCAACTGGAATGATGTGATGGAAGCAAGTCTTTACCACATCTGCGTAGGAGCAAGGGAACTACAGAATTTGACCTGAGAGGCAAAACACAAAGCCTGATATCTGATGGCCGGGCTCAGAGACCAGAAACGAGAGAGAGAAATGCAGCTACTCTAAGAAAGTTAATTACCTATAACATAATTAATTAGATTATTTGATTGAATCTGAATATTAGTGACAAAAATCTATTACAGAAATATAAGCAAGGAATCTTAATCCAATACCTAACCCATTAGATCTTAAAACCTCATTTTAAGATACTGACAAGCTGGTTTGTAGTTCTTAAAGAACAGATGTCCTTGGAAGTAATAATGTGCTGTCTTTAAACTATATATGTAAATACTTTCACATATCTGTCTGAGTTGGAAAAGAGTATTTTTAGAAGTATCTTAATTGGAAGCTTCTTTTCTGTTTTATAAATGATATGCTAATTTTAGATCCTATTCAGCAGCAGTCAAAAAATGAAAAGATAGTTTCTATTATAGGTGCATCAATATACCAGTTGTGTATCAGATCAACACCGATAAAAAGAAAATTAAGATTAATGGCTATCAACTTTTTTTGGCCGGTGTAGCTGATAATGTCACAATATGCCTTCTGCCCAGGACCTTAAACATCGCACGCATGCACACAGCTGCATGCAGGAATGAAGCTGGGCAGCATTGAAAGCAGCGCCATGAAAGTAAGCCTGTGAAGGGGAAGGGCCATGAGGGAGGGAAGAAGGTCCCCTGGTGAGGGAGAAAGTGGGGCAAGGGCTGGGGGTGCTGCCCAGCCAGGGCAGTGAATGGGACCCAGGATAGGGAGCAGGACAGAGCAACAGGTGCCTCTCTGCTCTGCTGCCTTTCCCACAGGAGCCCCATGCTTGTTACATATCCCCTGCCTCCCTGGCAGTGGTCAGGGTGGCAAGTTGTGCCGGGCAGGCAGAGGACGTGGCTGCTGTGGGGCTCCAGAGGGAAAGACAACAGGGAGGAGAGCCCCAAGCTTACAGTGGGCAGCCCACATCTGCCTTTGCCCAGCTAAGCTCCACTCTGGTTAAAAGTGTCCCCGCACTTAAAAACAGTAGTGGCGGTGCTTGAACTAAAGCTCATTTGATGAGCTTTAGTTCAAGTGCCGCCACCACCATTTTTAAGCGACAGGAAGCGGATCCCCTGGATGAGCTGCCCTGGCTCTGTCCTGCTCCCTGCCTGGGCACTGGGTCCCATTCACCACCCTTGGTGGGCAGCATCCCCAGCCCCACTCCACTCCCTCCCTCACCATGGGGGCCTCAATCTTCCCTCTCCCATGCCTCTTTCCTCCCCTATGCCCCTTCCCCTTCACTGACTTACCTGCAGGGAGCTGCTCTCCATGTTGCCCGGTTGCATTCCTCTAAATCAGTTATCATATCAGTATCAGCCAATATCACTGGTTATTAATTGGCTATTGGGATCAGTCAAGAAAATCAGTGAACCCCTAGTTTCTATCATTTTAAAATTCTATTGTATGTCAGCCATATGCCCTAAGTTTAAATATTTTAAATTTTGGTCACAAAAATATAGGTGGTGATCAGCAAATGATACACATCCAAATTAAGATTCTTTTGACATATAAATAATTTAAATTAAATTAGTGTAACTAAAATACTATACTGACACCTTTTGTTAACAAAAATTATAACTAAGAGCATTGATAGATGTGTTAATAACACAATAAATTATAACCTATCACACATTCAGCCAATGTATGTGATAAAATGGCAAACCAGCCACAAAGATGTTCCATATTAAATGTAGGACATCTTTGTGGCTGATTTGCATCATATTTTAATTTGAAAGTATGGCATTTTTGGCACTGGCTGTCTAGAGGATTTAGTTGCTGACAAGTGTGGAGCTGGGCATTGGGATCAGTCTCTGATGATGCATTTCCTACAGTGCCCTTTGAACTTACTGGTATGTGGGGAGCCGATAGGGCCTACGTTGGGCTGCAGTGTGAGACTTTAGGCACCATCATGCTGGAAGCTAATCTCTGATGGGTCCCTGTTCACCAGCAACTTGACAGCCACACAGAGCAATCCAGCATCTCTGCAGGGCTACATTGCACAACTATACCACATGGCTTTCAGCTTGCCTGCATGCAGGGAGGTCATCAGTACGGAAGCAGGGTCTGTCCCAATGTCTTTTTCCCTACACCTGCAGCTGCATAATTTGGATCTAACAAATTTTATCCCAGAACTCATGTGTCCTGGCAGGATGGATCATTTTTGGAATCCAGGAAAAATGTGTCAGATTCCTATCACACAACTAAAAAGTCTGCCAGCGGCCCTAAGACATGACACTGCACTGCACTGCACTGTGTCATACTATAGACAAAGATATCATAGGAAGTTGTGAACTGTTTCCCAACTTTTCAAGCATTATAGAAGCAAAACCAGAAAATTAATTTTTAGAAAGCACAGCTACAACTACAAACAATGGCTTATTTGAACTGACATTTAAATTAGAATTGTTATTCAGACATACTGGGAACTAATGTTATCCTTTTTTTTAAAAAACTAAGACTTTGCACCTAATCTTGATTTCAGTGCTGTAAAATAAGAGAGAGCAAAATGGAGCAAATAGTAGCTACGGCTCCAGCCTGGCAGCAGTGGCGGCAGTAGCAGTGATGGTGGCAGACCCGGCCCCTGGCCTGAGCTGAGGCTGGATGTGGAGCCAGAGCTACAATAGCTCTCCTACTATCACACAGATTCCCTTACATGCTTTCCCCCACACCTTGCAGTCTTCCTGTTCTCCCTCACCATATGTAATTTCCCAGACTGCATAGTCACCTTGGCCACAACCAGGCAGCAGCGGTGGCAGTATCTCTGGCCCTTGTACAGCCCTGTGCTCGAATCTACGTCAAGATTTTCTCTGCCCCCCTCCCCCCCACTCCTCATATTAAATGAGGGGAAAAGAAACTTGTTTTGGATTTGAGTAAATATGGTAGATCTCTCCAGCCCCTGGCAGATGCTTATATAATTATGTGATGGGATCTGAAGCATTTTATCCTGGATCCGATTCAACGTCTGGCATGGCAGAACATGCAAATTGTTGGAATCAGGGATAAAAAATACTCAGCAATAAAAAAAATGCATCTGCTTGGGGTATGCAGCTGTACATGCACTAGGGCATGGGGAGCTGTGATCCCCAGCTTGCCTGTAGCCTGTTACATGCATTGCAGAGCATGGATTCCTGGAAACTGGGGAGATCCCCAATCCCCAGTTGCCTATGCTATGCTCCTGTCAACACAGCACTGTGGAACATTTTGATGGCAAGTGTGGAGCTTGCCATTTAATTATGCAATAAATGCAATGCCTGCCAGGACCCACTATGTCCACAGCCATTCCATTTCAGTACAAATGTGTTAGATGCCTATCGATGCTTTATTCCAGGGGGCTTCAACCTTTTTTAGTCTACGTACCACAAGTGGTCAGGCACTGAGCAGGGGGAGGGGAGGAGAGGGAGGTAGCATGTGTAGCTGGAATCCGGGGGCGGGGGAGTACCTCACAGCCAGATGCCAAGCAGGAGGGGAGGAGTAGCACATGGCTGGACATGGAGCAGGTAGGCAGGGACGGTGCATGGGCGGGCAGGGATGGAGCACTGCTGTCTCCCAGGAGTAGGGCCAGGGTGGGGCAGGAAAGCTCACTGGGCTGGTGTGTGGTGGCGGCAGCTGGCGCATGCCAGGCTTATGCGGGCATGCGGGGCGAGGGCATCACAGCCTTCGCCCCGCCCTGGCCCTGCTCCTAGGACGTGGCAGGGCTCCCTCCCCACCTGCCCACGTGTACCCACTAGGACCAGTCCAAGTAGCCCCAGGGGTATGCATACCGCTGGCTGACAACCCCTACTTTATTCTATCTATAACCACTTAAGTGGAGAAACTATTGATTTATGTGCTATGGCCCCTATTTGAAAATGAAAAATGCAGACTCCTAATAATTCATTTTTAGGATATTAATTCTTCTGAAAATTGTACTGACCTTAGTAATATACATACCTGTAAAAACAAATAACTGGATAACACATTGTCAAATGAAGGACTAAGATAGACTGGGTCTGTCATTCTTACGCCCATCCCCCTGAAAAGCACAAAATACATATTAATCTGACTAATTCAACCAAATTATCTGTGCTGCCTATACTTTTAAAACTACTTTCTGCCATGGAAAGAGTCTTTGTCTTCATAATAACTGACTTTCAATAGCACTGAGGGGCTCAAATAATACTGATTTGGCCATGATGTTCTTTTTTTCCCCAACATTATTCCATTCTTATACACAATAAGAAAAGTAAATATGGCAGACTCAACTTCTAGGGTTGTATATTCAACTACTTTCATTCTAGCGTAGCACAAAATAAAATGGTCTGCATAGCGTGCCTTTGTTTCACATAAAAAAAATATTATTTGTTTTATATGTCTCAGACATGTAAGAAGCAGCTCTTATTTTGACATGATACAGAACACACCACTTCACATGCTGTGTGTGTGTGCTGGGAGAAGGAAAGTAAATTAATTTTCTCTGGCAGCAAATAATCTTAAATTGGATAACTTCTTTGGCAACCAGTTCTAAAACAGATTGTGGTAGAGAGACAAAACCTAAAATACAGCCTCATTAACCAAAAAAGTGTGTTGGGAGACTGGGAAAAAGGAGAAGGGTAAGACTTAAACCTATCCAAACTGGATCAAATCAGTAGGAACAGAAGAATAGTCACCAAGGAGGAGTCTTGCCAAGTGTGGAGGCTTATTAACTTAGCAAAATCAAACCGAATGCATTCTTGTGAAGCTGAAGAAAAAATATCTGCTGAATTAATCAGAATGAGTGCATCCACACATGCAGGCACATGCACTTGAAGCAGCTCAAATAAGAGCAGCACAAATTTGTGCTAGAGATTTGTGCCTCAGCACATATGATTGAACATGCACTTTGGTGTGGGGCAAGTTGTGCCACTTGGGGCAAACTGACCCTGCCCAGCTCCTCCTGGATCTGCAGCCAAGCGGGGCTGGAGGCTGGGGCCAGCACCTGTGCTGGCCCCAGTAGTATAAAAAGCTCAAGCGTACTTGGTTTCAGGAGCTTCTGAGGCCCAGCCAGTTGACATATGCGGACACTAGCCCCCTGTGCCAGCTAGACTGCTGCAGCAGCCCTGACCTAAAGTGGACCCTGCACGCTCTACCCACTGCAGCAGTCTGGCAGTGGAGGCTCCTGTCTGGCTATGACCTGCAGCCACCTGCAACAGCATCCACCCCGTCCATGTCTGCATGCCTGCCAGACCTGGATGGGGATTGCCTGGCCACCTGGGCTGTGGCATGGGCACTGCCATAGAGCCTCCTGCACCTCTGGGCCTGCTGCCAGTGGGCTGTAGCTACACAGCTGGCCTTCGTGCAGCATTGCTGCCATATCTATCCCCGCCCTGCCATCTGGGTGGCTATCGCCTGAAAGATGTGCTGTGTGGTGGCCTGCTTTGAACTGTCAAAGCATGTCCTCCTGGCCCCAAATGGTCAGGAAGTCAGCCACCTCATTTGCCCTCCAGCTGGGTCCCCAGTGCCAGTGCCTGGGTCCCGCCCCTTGCCTCACTAGCAGGAATCCTGGTGCTCCTTGTTTAAAAATTGCAAATTCTCTGACAAAAAATCCCAAATTCACTCTTTAAAATACCCCAAAATCCAAGTTTTCCACAATTATATACAGTGGTGCTGGGCGGCATATATATAGTGGCGCCCAGGCAGTCCCCATCCAGATCTGGCAGGTGTGAAGACATGAAAGGGTGGGTGCTGAGGGTGGATATATACATGTAGTGGCATTTCATTTTAATCATGGAAGAACATGAATTTTTGGGTATTTTAAAGAGTAAATTTGGGATTTTTTTATCAGAGAATATGCAATTTTTAAGCAGGGAGCACCAGGATATACATCTAGAAAGAGACTGATTAATCAGTTGGGCAATGTTTTATTGATATATTTACAATTTTAAAACAATTTAGAAGCCTACCAGTGCCTCTATCATCATGATAAAAAAATTATAAATATTTATATGCTTTGGTTTTTGCTTTTGTTTTTTTATCACAGAAAAATCAGAGCATCCCCTGACCCTTTTGTTGCAGGACACTAAGATGCCTGCTCCTTTAAGAGCAGAAACTGCCTAGGGAGAGGGCCCTAAGAGCCAGACAGAAATCCCACAGGTACAGGTTGCTATGGCAGCAGGCTAACAAGGGAATTAGCCTGCACCTGCACCCGATCAGCTGTCTGGAAGAAGGCAGGGCCCTGGATGCACATAAACCCCAGGGCTGAGACCAGCGGGGGTTAGTTCTCTAGCAGAAGCCAGGGGAAGGAGCCTCCAGGGAAGAATTGTCCAGAGACGCTTTGGCTGCCTGATATGCTGCATATAGGACTAATGGGGCTCCAGGAGCTCACCAGGTACCCTGGCTTACAAGGCACTTAGTGCTGGGAGGAAGTCTGACTCTTTTAAAGGGACAGAGCGCACCCTGAACTGCTTGTGTTACGTTATAGCCCAAGGGCTCATATTTTGGTTGCTGTTTATAAACCAGTGGATCAGACTGAGGCTATTAGGAAAGGAGGAGGCCTCATTGGAGGCCCACTACAGTGTGGAGACCCCAGTGCCAGTGGGCATGGTGACAAAGGGGGTGGACAGACCCCAACACCAGTGTGGGCACGTAGATAAAGCTGCGGAGAGCTCAGCGCCATTATGGGCACAGAGACAGGGCTGTGGAGAGCCCAGTGATGACAGGAGGCCAAACTAGACTAAGGCCTCAGAGGGAAAACGTGTAAATACCATCTGCGAGGCTTGTGGCATGGTAAAGAGGCGGTTTTGGAGCCACGCATCTAGACCATAAGGCTGAGGTTGTCCCGTGAGGCAACCATTTTGAGCAAGACCCAAAAGGGGTCCAAGAACCCACGGGGTTCAGTGGAGTCCATCAGGACTGTACCCAACACACAAACTCGAGGGCAGCATCCCAATTTACTGTAATTACCAACAAGACGTGGCAAGTGAGGAAAAGGGTGCCCACTGGGCAAGACTGGCATGGTCATGGAGCCGTAGGGGCATCACGGCTATTCCTGGGGACCCCATCCCGTGATACCCTTCACTAACCAGGATGTGGGGGCAGCTGCTCCTGCAGCCACAGCTGCTGCCAGTAGGTCCCATCCTGTCTGGCAGCTGGGTACACAGGGTATGAGACACTGGGGGCATGTGGGGTTTGCAGGAGGGGGTGTGGGAACGGGTGTGTGAGGGAGGTGGGTGTGGGGTTCTTGGGTGTGTGTGTGGGGGGTATGTGTGGGGATGTGGGGGAGGTGTAGGGTTTGTGGATGGGTTTGTGGGGGGGGCTTAAGTGGGGGCAGCTACATGCCTACCCTACAATCTGTCCCCTGCAACACAGGCAGCAGAAGCCAGCTGGGCTGTTGGGGCCATGGCCTGGCTGCAGGCACAGCTCTGTGGGGCGCAGCACTGCCTCAGCTGTGGGGTGTGTACCTCTTGAACAGACGCAACCTGGCCCAGCCCACTAGCGCACAGCTTTGGACAAGACTGAGAAGGCTGTACGGTAGCAGGGTGGGCTGAGCCGGGCCCCCAAGCTGTGTCAGGTCTGTTCAGCACAGAGCCTGGTCAGGCAGTGCCATGCCGCCATGGGCTGTGTCTGCAACTGGGCCATGGCCCTGACAGCCCAGCTGCCTGCTGCTGCCAGTGCCAAGAAGGCAGGTCGGGGGCAGGCATCTAGCAACCCCTGCTCAACCCCACCCACAAACCCCACACCCCCCATATCCTGCTGCCACTCCATACTCCCCACACCTCACACCCATAACCCCTCCACCCCCACATCCCTCCTAACTTACCTGGGGCTACGCTCAGATCCAGGCCATGCCACAGCCTTGCCCCACTCGTTTGCCCCAGCACATTAAGGGAGCGTGCTGGAGCAGCAGAAGCACCACAGAGACACTCTGGTCAGATAACAGAGCGTTTCTCTGGAGAACCCAGCCTCCAGGTTGCCTCAGGGCATGTTCCTGGACCGTTCCCTGCTCTGCTTTTTTTCTGCAGCCTCCTGTACCCAACCTAGGCCAACATGCCACATGCCAGAGTGTGCACGCACAGGTGTTCCCCGGGGACAAGCAGCAGTGGCACATATCATGACACTGCTGTTTGTCCCCGGGGAAACGCACATTCCTGCTTGTGGGGAAGTGCCCAATCTGGTTTCTTTTGGGTTGCACAGTATTTCAAATTCCTTTTTTCGTCCTTCAAACAAAACTGCACGTTCTCAATCATCAGTCCAGTTGGTATAGACTTACTTCAGTGGGCCACTTGGACTGAAAATTTCGTTGCGACTTAGTTCAGAAATCCCATTTCCAAGAAAAACTTTTGTTCCCAGGAAGTCTTTGGCTCCTCTTTTACACTTCCCTTCAATATCGGAGTATACAGAGACCATATCTCCAGCTTTCATAACTAGGGAAAGAAGAAAAGAGAGATTTTAGGGACGGCTTTTTTCATAGTGTCATAGTTTCATAGTTGGTAGGGTCAGAAGGGACCTGAGCAGATCATCAAGTCCGACCCCCTGCCATGGCAGGAAAGAGTACTGGGATCAAATGACCTCAGCAAGGTGTTCATCCAGCCTCATTTTAAAGACCCCTAGGATAGAAGCCAGCACCACTTCTCTTGGAAGTTGGTTCCAGATCCTAGCCACCCTGACAGTGAAGTAGTACCTCCTGATGTCTAGTCTGAATCTATCCTCTGCCAGGTTGTGACCACTATTTCTTGTCACTCCTGGTAGTGCTCGGGGGAACAGGGACTCCCCCAATGCCTGCTGGTGCCCTCTGACTAGTCTG